GAGAGAGGAGGAGGAGGAGGAGGAGGAGAGAGGAGGAGGAGGAGGAAGAGGAAGGAGGAGGAGGTATGTATCCCACTTCCGGTGGCTGTCTAGGAAGAGAGAACCTAAGGGTCTGCGTGTGAGCATCTGTCACAGAACGATTTCTGAGAGAGGAGGTTTAGGAAATTGGAGCTCGAAGCACTTTGCCAGACACCAGAAGTGCAGAGGCCCTTCGGCAGATGCTGCTGCTCCTCTTCTGCCTTGCATGGGCCGGCAAACCACAGATGACCGGAAAAGCTGGCTGTGTGGAAAAGAGATAACCAGACCTCAGCACAACTTACACTATGTCAGAGACACTGAGGTGCCATTCTGACCCACATGTCCAGCATGAAGACCTTAACGCCTGTCACAACAAGAACAAAGACCCACTCCATCAAAGCCCGCAGTTCTGGGCAAGTCTCCGAATGTTCCAGCCTTGCTTTTTGGCTGTTAGTTCAACTTCTGGTTAACTGTTCTTGTTAACTGAGGTGTGTCAACCCAGGATGTGGGTTTTGTGCTTAAAGCTCACCATGAGAAAGGCTCAGGACTACATTCAGGTCCCCAACACACAGTGTGCTTGCCAGCCTCCTAATAAAAGCTTAAACCCGTGTCCAAGTGGTCTTCTCTGGTGGATACCCCACAACAGCATAATGTCTACTTTCTGGATAATTCAATTGCATCTGTTGGATGGGAGTCAGATTTTCGTGCAGGAAAATTAACCCCAACCCTCAGGAGGCAGAGGCAGGTAGGTCTCTGAGTTCAAGGCCAGCCTGGTTTGCAGAGGAAGTTCCAAGACAGCCAGGGCTACACAGAGAAACCCTGTCTCAAACAAACAAACCAACAAAAATCTGATTTATATATAGTTTATAAGAAAAGACCTCAGCTCCGTGGCTGCCACTGAAAACTTAGCTTATTCATTGAGTACATTGTCCAGGACAAGGACAGTGTGAGCTCACAGGTGTCTATTATACTCATCCCAGAATTTAAAAGCAAGGACGGGCCATCGTGTGTAAAATGTTTGGAAACCAAGACAGCAGTACCATCAGCTCCAGCAATAGCCAATCAGAGAGATCCCAGGCTATGAAGGGTCAAGAAACTTCTGGAAGGTCATAAACAAGCAAATGAAATGTGCAATTGAAATGTGAGCTGGCGCTTTCGGAGTCTCATTGATTTGTGTGTGGATGTTTCCCGACTCATGCCGAGGCTGCTGCTAGGCACCTGCTTATCTTCAACAGTGTTCATCGATCTGTAGTAGACAGGATTTGCTGTCGATGGAACTTTTTTTTTTGAGACAGGTCTCCTGTATTTCAGGTTAGTCTTTAACCTGCTATGTTCCTGGGGCTGACCTTTAACTTCTGATTCTCCTGCTTCCACCTCCTGAGTGCGGGGATTACAGGGGTTCACCACCACAACTCTCTTAGGAGGTACCAGGGCTTGAACCAAGGGCCTTGTGCATGCTACGCAGTCATTCTGACAACTAAACTATCTGTAGCCCTTAATTGAGCTTCTTTTTTCTTTCCTTCCTTCCTCCCTTCCTTCCATCTTTTTTTTTTTTTTTTTTT